CCCCAATAGTAATCAACATGACAGGAAACACAAATGTACATTTCTCAATCTCTATTGCCTGGGAGAAATAACTGTTAAAACCAATGATTATTTCTGTTAATTGAATATAAATGCTATAAAAATAATCTTGATATCAAGACTTCTCCATGCAGTCAATCTTTATTATAGCAATATTCGCATATTCACATCAAGTACATAGAACTTTTTTGCCGTTTATATAATACAGTTTTTAAATAACTTTACACAAATAATTTTCTTCAATCTGATTTTCAGCTATCTTTTTAAATTCTCCATGCTTTCTATCCAAACTGAACAATATTTTCCATTATACAAATTTACATGAGAAAAACTCCAAAGTACAAATGAAGGGACCTGAGCAGGAAAGAGAACCAAAGTGTCAGGAAATAGGTATGGGGAAGAAGTTAAAAAAAAAAAAAAAAAAAAAAAAGATTCAGGCAAACATTGAGGATTAAGGGATAGGAGGGAGAAATTACCCATTTGACTGAAAATAAATGTCTTTCTTATGAATTGAAAAATAAGCTTTAAAAATAGTTACACCATTGTAATTTTTGCAAAGCAGGTATAGAGAGGTCTTGGACAATGAAAAAGTCCTCACCTTTCCACTGGGTACACCCAGGGTCCATGAGAACCCTTTCAATGCTTGAGCGGAACTGAAGTGAACTAAACCTGAACCTTCAGCAGTTATAGACGAGAGGAATGTGTGAGGTGCTGTGAGGTTCAAAGTGATAGACAGGAGCCATTAATTCACTGCAGTTTCAACTTGAAGCATTTCTCTTTCCTCTCCCTTGTCCTTAGGAGACTTGTCCTTAAATCAAAAGTACATGAAAGAGGGGAGGGATTTCCTTTCCCTTGGTCTAAACCAAAGAGCATTCATAACTACTGAGTAGAATTCAGAGAGACATTAGTTGATGAATGGTAAAATCAACCTCCTGACCAATTATACAATCCTACCATAGAAGCAGCAACTGCTGAATGACAAAAGCATCAGATGTACACCCAACAAGTGGGATGATCACAAATGTGTGACTGTGACAGTCCTTCACACAGGTATCGTTTGTTGTAAAGGCCAGACCAAGGCAGTATCATGTGACAACCAAAGGAGACACAGGATCCAATGAATGCATTTTAAAATACAGGAAGGAAAAGGGCACAGCCTGTATGTGCATACATGTGTACACACACACACACTCTTTTCCTGGTATGTAAACTAATATAACATGAAGATAAATAAGACATAAAGATTAGCCACTGATGTTGGTAATTAACATGAATAAAAAGGTGTATGTTTACATAGCTGGTTTTAATCAGCTATGGTACACAAGTATATTAGGAAGGAATGATTTAAAAAACTGTTCACAGCTTAGAATAAAAAGCACACTTATTGCACTCATTTTATTTCGAATAATTATTGTTTATTTCCCACCCTCATTAGTTTTTCCCTAACCCCCAGACTTAACTGCTAGCCTAACATATTTTGGTCCATTTCCTCTCCATCTGTGCCAAACTTTGAGTTTGTTGCTTATGTTAAGCCTAAAGTTTCTTCCTACATAGCTCATACCCTGCCCAAACACATATGGGTTCAAAAAGGCTTAGCACACAAATGCAAGAGACTGATTTCCAAAGAAACAGACTAAACGTTCTCATGACCCCCACTCCAGTCCTGTCTACCAACTCTTGGCCACTGCTTTCTGCATTTTCTGCCTGACTCCCATGTATCCACACTGTGAGTGGGAACCGACCATCATGGGTTCTGGACAATGTACTCAGCCTTCCAAGAGAAACAAATGGTTTGCACAAAAATTTTTTTGATATCAACATGAATAAATATATTGCAGTTCTGTTTTCAAAGAGTACTTCAATCTAAAGAATTCTTTACCCAAAAATGCATCACAAAAAACAATACACTGGCTGTATCCTCATGCATAATTTGTTATATCATTGCAGTTAGTCAAGACAGCTAAATAGAAGTAAACATTTTAGTGAAACTGACTTAGTAATTAATAAACAGCCAGGTGTGGTGGTGGCACGCCTGTAATCTCAGCACTATGGAGGCTGAGGCAGGAAGATTGCCAGGAGTTCAAGGCCAGCCTGGGCTACATGGCGAGTTCAAGGCCAGCCTGAACTACATAGCAAGATTCTGTCTCAAAAAAACCAAACCAAAACAAAACCACAACTAAATAAACAGTTGAAATGTGGATGCTGAAATAAAGGTTCTATCTTAATCACTTTATTGAGGTTGTGATTAAGTGTCCCTATGTGTGTTTTGTTTTTTCAAGATTTTTGATTTTGTCCTCTTCTACCTTAAAAATACCTGATAGAAACTATTATTCTTTTCACAATTAAGAAAAATTAGGACTGAGTTTCAATTTACTTGTGTTTAACCAAATACAAGTGAAAATAAGTTACCTGAAAAAAAAGCTTACTGTTTAGTGTACTGCTATCACAAACATCTTCACAGGATTTTCAACTTGACCAGAGCCAGAAGCACAGACCTCGAACACTTAGGCCATTTTACTCTCTGGCCCATCTACAGACCTCTGTGGGCAGAGATGTTACCACCCTCCCTAGGCCTCAGTGATTTACCTCAGTACTCAGTGAAATAGCTACAGCACAAGCTTGGGGTGGTACAGCATAATCCACAAAGTGCGCCCCATCTCACATACACTGGACAGGCCGCCATGTTTTCAATGGCCCCTTGCAAAGGAGCCCTCCAGAGACTCTCTCTTCTGCCCCCACTACGCACCAGAGCACAGTCTGTAGCACGGTCCTGCTTCATTTGTGAACAAGTTCTGGGAGGCAAGTTTACATTTCAAACTCAGAAAAATCAGTGTCTCGGTTGGCAGCAGTACTCTGGAAACAGATCAAATCAAATTCTGTCCTATATTTTAATTTTTCCTAAGTCAGTATGCCTGATTGCTGCCCAGCATACAGTACTTAACACTACACTACAGCAGTTTCTTAAAATGTCTCAAGCATTTCTGTTGTATAAAATTTCCATGCTTTGAAGAACCTATGGGAGTAGAAAAAGTTTCTCTAGAAATGTCACTGAATATTTTCAACCTAGTTGCTCTACGTGGCAAATATATCTGACTATACTAGGGATTATGTGCTTTAAAAAAATAATTTGTTCATTGAAAATTTACCTGTTTTCTCATTTTTAAATGTAATTTTGGCTATAAACTCTTAGTGCATTTATCTTTGCAGTCTAAATTGCACTCTAAAAAAATATTAACACAGCTGAGTTAGACCAGAGTGGCTGCTCTCTTCATAAATCACTGATTTCTGCTAAAATTTTAGCTTTTTTATTGCATCATGAAGGCACAGTAATAAGATCATTTGGCAAATCATCAAGGTATTTTTTAGAGCCTCCCCTCCACCACCTTGTGGCATGACCTGTAAGTTACTCACTGTTCATACTCACATCTTCCAGGGCTGGCTGTGGTTCTGGATAGCCTGGTGGTTGACACCTGCTAATTCAAGGTGCTGAGATTTACTCTAGCAGTAAGCACACCAACCTGGACAAAGGAGAGAATCTTGCAAGCAGGGTGCTTATCCTACCCCTTTAGCTGGGCAGTCTCTCTGTACAAGCATCTGTGCATATGACGGAGCCGTCACTAACTCATTATGAAGACGGACTGTCTTGACAAGTCTACTGAAAATTAAAATTACATCACTGGTAGTGAAGTGATACCATAACCTTGTAATTTCATGCAACTGACTTCAGGCTTTCTGACATGAACACTTAAACAGATTCTGGCACTGCCTCCAATAACATTCACATACTCTGAGCTACACTTTTTTTTTTTTTTCTTAGTATTACTCCTTAAATGTATAATGCCCTTTAGGACAAAATGAGAGTGCTCAAATACAAGTACATATAAAATCTTAAATCATCTTCACGTTCTAGAGCTCCCCACTGTTCATATTTTAAAATAAATAACTATTCATCACCTCATTCTGAGGAGGTAGTTTTTTGAAGAGGTCACCTGAACCCTGCAATGTGTTTCACACTAACGCTAGATGCAGAGGTTTGCAGAGGCTGGTGAGGTGGCTGTGCCATGGGGACAGTGAGTCTGAGGAGGGGCACAGGAGCTCCAACTCTGCCTGATGAACACCAAGTGGCACAGCTGCACCCAACAGGAAGGAGGAGGAAGTATTCAGAAAGTTTCAGGCTGACAGTGTTCAAGTCTTGAATGATCTCTTTACAGAATGCTCTTTCTTCTCCAACATCAACATAAATATAACATGGGATTCAGATGGGACTTTACTTCTAGGATGCCCCAGTATGTCCTACCAGACCTCAAATACAATCAGGGGTGAGAGGATCATGAGCCAGAATTTTATAGCTACACAGAATTTTCTTAAGGTGCACATAAATACAAATGATCACATTGGATTTTCTATTCACAATTCTTTTATATACTTTTTTTGGGGGGGTCATTATTAATTCACTGGCAAGTCTGAGTCTTTGCCAGGCATGGTGGTGCAGACCTGTAATCCCAGCACTTAGAGGCTGAAGCAAGAGGATCACTATGAGTTCAAGGCCATCCTGAACTACGTTACCCCGCTTAAAAAAAAAAAAAAATGTCTGAGTCCTTGACCCTAGTTTAGTGATGAAAAAAGTCCATCAGGAGGAATATTACATATTTAAAAACAATCTTCTACCTTCGCTCTCAAAATTTTCAGGCTTCATTTTCCCTAGCAAAAATAAAACAAACAGCAGAAGGCACTGCAACCGCTTTCCAGACAAGACTGAAAGACTGACAACTACAGCAAGACAAGGTGATCAGTGAAGTAGCCACACACTGTGTATATGATTTAGTCATAAAGTGCTTTGCACAAACAAGGACTTCTTCCTTGCATTTTCTTAGGAGCTCAACAAGTCTTTCTGTAGTCTAAGCATCCAAAAATAAAATAAAACTGAAAAGGAAACCTCTTTTCATGTCATTTGTAAATAGAAAATAAAAACCTATTTGATGGGAAATAAAGTTCAAACATTTTATTAATTTCTATTTTTAAAGTTTTCTATATAAATCTCTCAATACCCTGAGCCTAGTTTCTGAACAGTTTCATCTATCAAGTCTGCTCCCTCTTTTCAAATGAAGTAGCAACCTATTCTAAAATGAAAGCAAGAAAAAAAGTGTATCATCTATATTTGTTTAGAAAACTTGAAGTGGTAACCCTTCCTCAGAAGGACCTCAACCTGTGCCTGGGGTTCAAGCTCAGGTCTCTCCAGCTGGATCTGAGATCTAAGTCAGTCTTGGTAAAGGGAACCCAGCCATGTTTAACAGCATTTACAGAGCCACATTTAAAAAGAACAAATGATCAATGCGTTTCAAAAAGAGGCAGCATGTTATACACAGGAAATACTTTTTGTATCAGTAAGAATCATTCCCATCTTTGCTGTTTCTAAATTTTGTAAGACATGGCTATGTTCACGTAAGAGTTAAAAACATAATTATCACTAAGCTATCCTCTGATGACAGGTATTTTTGAAAAAAATCATCTAAGGGTAGTGAGTAGGTAGCAAGTAGGCCAGGATAGATACTGGGGCCAGGGTTAGAATTTGAGACATTTAAATAACAATTCCTTATTCTCTGATTAATTTTGGGTCCTGCTGAATTTCTTTCAGGTTCCTGGCTGTAGCTTAGTTGGCTTAAGGTCATCTCATTTGATTTGCATTCCTAAATTCCAACAAATGAGATTCTAGACTCCCAATAAGGGAGATATTTGCCATTAGTACATCTAGTCACTTTCTTTGCTACTACTGTGATTTATGATATCCTTTAATTAAGGCCAAGGGAAGCTATGACTAGGTTCTATTTTCTATCTGTACAAAGATGGGATGGATTTGGCTTTTCAATACCACAGAGCTTTCTGCACAAACAACTGATGACAGGCTTTCTCACACCTCCCACAGCCCCAATATCCCTAACATTTCTGTTCTCTGCCTGGGGAACTCAACTGCCACATTGCCCAACCTTTTGAGGACCAGGCTTGGGAAAAAAGGAAGAGAATGAATGGAGACACCACCATTTTTATTTTAGGTTTCATATTCTAGATAAAAGACTAGAAAGAGGATGTAGGCTGCAGTGTAGGAATGTTGGAGGAAACAATGAGATTATTAGCAAAGATGTTAGTGTGGATCCAGCAAGTACCATTAATTAAAAAATTATAAATATTTGTCATTATGCTAAACTTCCCATATTTATGTAGAGAAAAGGGTAATGATTTTGTTTAAAAGTTGATTATATAACAAAAATATAATTTTACGGATATATAATTCTGGTGGGAAATATTGTATTCCAATTCAATTAAATCTGAAAATTATTTTCCTCTTAATAAAAATATAATAGAAGAAACTCAGAAATGAAAACCTGTACCTTACATTTAAATTACATAATTTTCTCACATTCAGAACTATTATTAAGCAGTTTTGTAGGCTTTTAATTAAATACTATCCATGGCATTTGGTGCCCTGGACAAATGAGCCATGTAAGTACTTGGTGACTGGAAGAGCTCAGAGGAAGATTTATACTGTATTTTCCTGAGAATTTGCTACATAGTGGAGGAAACGAGTCCTTAACCCTCATCTTCATTGCTGGACCCAGTGAGAAAAGAAGGCGATGTGTGCCAGCACTGTCCAGCCTGTGTGGTTAGGCAGAGCCCAGGGAACAAGGTAACCAGAGGCCAGAGACCAGGGAGGTCAGGAAGAAGATGCAGCATTCCCTTGCCTTCTGCCCCATGTGGTCCTTGCCCCTCACCCTCCTTTTAAATACGAGAACTTCACTGTGAGAAAATCTGTCAAGGAATAACCATGTAACATGCAGAAAGGGTATGCTGCATTTTGGTTCCATCCCTCAGAAATTAATTAACCAGTGGTGGCTAGGGGAAAGAGCTCCACAACATCCCAGAACAGCAAAGAGAACGGTGATTGGTGATTGAAACTGCCCCATCAGATGATCAGCCACAAATTGATCTGCAGTTAGAAGGACAAAGTTGACTGGCAGACTTTCCATAGCAAATCTCCCAAGCTGTAGCAGCAGTTTCTTTCCATCATGCCTGACCATCAAAAAGTCAGAATTCAGGGTCTCTCCTCTTTCTTCCCAGGAGTGGGCAGACTTGTGTGCACGTGGTATTTGTGTTGAAGAAGAAACTGGCAGCAGAGAATTCTGGTTCCTAAAACATCCTTTCCTCTTTTGATGGATAGGAAATTCCATTCTGTTCCATACCAGCTTATGCATTGAAAATTTTGTATCTTTAAAAAAAGATTGGAGGAACAGAATTGTGTTTTGATGTTAACGAACTGTACGAACACAAGACTTAAGAAATAAAGAGTAGATGCTGCCATGACGGTGTGGCTACTTGAAGGCTGCAAATTCTCCTGTAGAGGGAGGACAAGAGCTAATTTTAAAAGAGTTATCTCAACTTTCAAAAGCCTTATTTGAACCTCACTGAAAGGTGACTAGTTTTATATTACAAATGTAGAATATCACTGATAGTTTAAACCCCAAAAGGCTGAAATTCATAAAATAACACAAATATGTATGTATATATATATATATATATAAATGTATATATGCAAACATACACACATATATAAATGGTTCAGCTATATCAATGAAATACCAACTCTGTAGGGAATTTCTCAGCTGAATTTTATGTTATAGTTTGGATCAAGCTGAAAACTATTCCATAATGAATTGAAGTTCTAATAAACTGCATGAGAGTAATGTCAAATTGCAGAATACTTTTGTTTCTAAATTATCCCTTCATTTTCAGCTCTTTTATTATTATAATGCCACTATCAGGAAGGGAGAAGCAGGAATTATCTTCACTTTACAAAAGAAAAAATTAGAAAGTCAAATGACTTATGTAAAAAAAAAAAAAAAAGACATATATACCCTATCTCCCCTTTCTAGTTAAATTCACCCTCCAACAACCAAAAAGTCAATCTAGGCACATGTCACTGAACAGAATTCTCTCCATAAGGAATTATTTAAGCCACAAAGTTTCTCTGGGGTATTCTTTAGCTTACTGAATTTGGGTGCTTCACGGCATTATTTTTCATCTACCATCTTGTCCACATTTTCCACTTATAAAGGCTGGTATCTGTTCTTATATACCCTACAGTTAATTTCTGGGGGTTGGTTAATAACTGACAATGATCAGAATTTAGTCAGTTGTAACATTTTTTAACAGCAACTTTGATGAGTCTCCAAGCAATCACTTATACGAATACACTAATCTAGAAATAACCTATCCAATTTTTGATGCTATTGGACTCCAACTGGTTGCTAGGGACTGTCTCATGTCCCAAGACACAACAGATTGCTAATGACTGGGCTGTATGAATCCTAAAATGTGCATACTGATAACAGTAGTGACTGTGAGTGACTGACATATGCCAGGTACCTCACTGTATACTGTATACACATTCTCCTCTAATTTCATAATTACCTTATGAGGCAGATGCTATTACTTCATTTTATAGATGAGCAAGTTAGGGGTCTACAGTGGTCAAGTAACTTGCTCAAGATCATACAACTAGAAAACTCTGGAACTGGAATGATACCTAGGTGCTGACTCAAAGGCCCAAGATAAGAAGCTCGTAAAGAATCTTTAATCATTAAGACTTGTTTTCCCACTGTGAACATAATTACTAATTAAACTACATATAGTCTAGTCATATAATCTTTTTCAAGCCCAGAATTACTTTTAATAAACAATCAACCTACTGTTGAGTCAAATGACCAACATAGTGTAAAAGAACATTCTAGTTAAAAGTTCAAAGGTAGAGTTTGGCACCGAAAAAAGTGCAACTGCTAAGACCTCAGTGAGCAAAATCTTTAGAAAATAGTCATAGAAATTTACTATGTTAACAGAGACTGTGGAAAGAGAATCTGCCAAAAAATGTACATAAACTTCAGAAAAAGAAAAATAATACGACTTTTTTCCCCAATAGATAGTGTTACCCTCATACGGGGGCCCTAGAGAATGCAGTATATCACAGAAAATCCCCTATATTGCAAGTGCTTAGAAAAGACACTGAAAATTGCATGTGCAGCAATCTTAATGACCAAGGTTACCCAAGCATCCTAAGCAAAATAGTATCTCATGACTTTCCCCAGCACAGCTGCCTGAAATTAGTGGACAGAAGACTTAATGGCTTTTAGCAATAACATAAGAACAGAAAATTCTCTCAACACTGCTACTGGAAGAAAATACCTGTAACTTCCTAATTAGGGTGCCACACTTGCTTCTTCACAGCAGCTCATCTAACTCTGAAGGATGCTCACTGTCATCTTTAACAGCCAACCATCTTCAGAACTAGATTTACTGGCCAGCTCAGGAGTTTCTGCAAGTGCTTCAGTAATTTAAGTTACTTCTCCCTCTGGAGAAGAACAGAATTCACTGGCAGTGTTCTCTTTCCAAAGCAACCACTTCATTGTTTTTCCAATTTTGCCTCAATAAACTATCTCTCAAAGCTTTCTGTGCACAACTGTGGACTCCCACTGTTCCAATACTATTTTCTTTTGCTACCCATTCATGTTTCTCTATGAATTTACTCACTGAATTGGTGCTGCCTGCAGCCACCAGGGCCACACCTGGCAGGGCACAGCAGGTGCTGAGGCTGCCAACAACTACTATTTGAAGGATGATTTTGACTGCTAGTTTAGTATTTAAATATAACTTTTTTTTTTTCCTGGTACCAGGTATCGAACTTAGAACCTTGTGTTTGAGGCAAGTGTGGCTCCACTGAGCTACATCCCTGGCCCTTGGTTTGGTATTTAAATGGCTATGTTACCTGAAAATAAACAGAACTGAATGAAACATTCTATTAAATCCTGTGATCCCTAAACTATTCCCTCTTTTTCTTTCAGTGGTGCTGGGGATGGAACCCAGGCCCTGGGTATACTGGGCAGTGCTCTACCACTGAGCTATACCCCTAGACCCCTGAATGACTTAAATTAAGACAAATTTTATTCTCATGACTCTTAAGACTTTTACAAGAAAACATTTTTTTATAAAAAGGTTGTTTCTTGAAGGAAATCAATTTTAATTAAAAAAATACATTCGGTCTCTCTCAGGTTTCTGGAAAGACGTGGTTAGGAAAAATTATGTTTTTCCTTTTCTGGAGCAGTATGAAACAAAAACAGTAGGAACAACAGTGACAATGACAACAAACAAAAGGGAACCTGGTTTAATTCTGTAATTCTAATGCCTCCTACTTCTCTGAATCCATGTTACCTAAACAACTGTGTCATGTTTTTAATGCTGTTTTCACTAGTGTTCGCAGCGGGCCAACTTTGGAAAGGAGACTAAGTCACGAGGAACTTGTGAGGACTTGGAGGCATGCTCTAGTGTTGATGGTATGGCATGATGAATTTCTGAGCAGCTTGACAGTTCATCAATGCTCCTGGCAAAGGGACTGGTAAAGAAGGGCAAGGAGTCCAATGTACATGGCGTGGAATGGGCCAGTGTCAGGCAGCAAGAGAGGGATAATGAAAGGAACCTACAAGTGAGGCAGGTAGACTGGGCGAGTACTGGAAGAATTCCATTCCTAAAAAAGAGCCTTTGAAGTGTGAGGCCCAGGATTCAATCCCCAGCACTGCTGGAAAGAAAAAAAGAAATCTCTTTGAATGTTTTCAAAGTGCCCAAATCATTTGAGCATCCTACAGACCAAATCGATTTTGTAAAACTTTATTAGCTACATTATTGCTATTGTTTGTGAATCAATACAACTCCATCTACTAATTATTAACATTCTTATCTTAGTATTGCTGGGGCTTTAGAAATCAAGAACTTTGATATTTTGCAACATGATATTATTATTATTTTTTTTTTGGTATGGTGCTGGGGAGTGAAGTGAGCCCCTGCCAATACTAAGCAAGCACTCTACTACTGAGCTACGATCCAAGCCCTCATTTTTAAATTTTTGAGCACTGGTGTGCCCAGCTAACATGTCATATTTTTTCATCTTTTTCTTATTCTCGTTTTTTAAAATGAGAGTTTTCCCACTATGTTGAAATTCATGAATAAATATATGATTCACAATGGTATTGCTTATCTTAAGCTACCCAAATAAGGGGCAAAGGTATGCCATAATCATTACTGATGAAATCTAAGTATCTCAAAAGTTACCTGTGGTGCCTGAAAGTAATTACCATTAAAGTCTGCCTAATTTTCTTACTGACTTCAAAGAAGGCTGGCACGTATGCAGATATTGTCTGTCTGCTGAAATAACTTTTAGCTGTGAGCTGTTACCTAAAAATCACAATAGTCATGTAAAGGTACAAGATCCCAATGGTGAATGTAACTGTACTGTATACCTAAAGTGTACCAATAAACTCAATGAGAGAGAGAAAAAAATTATGACAAACCAGGCACGGTAGTGCACGCCTGTAATCCTAACACTCAGGAGGCTGAGGCAGGAGGATTGCTGCAAGTTCGAGGCCAGCCTGGGCTACACTATGAGTTCAGGGCCAGCATGAACTACAAAATGAGACCTT